GCTCCCGCCCACGACAATCTAAAACCCGCCCAATCCCGTGAGATTTGCGTTGGGTCCCGCGGGACCCGCGGGATCCCGCTCCCAATGCAGGGCTCTACAACAAGGGGTCAGAACTCAACAGGGAAAAAGTAGCTAAGAAAATGACACGTAGACTAAGATAGGGAATGGGGCAGCTAGTGATGTTAAGCTTGACGCCGAAGCCCCGAGGTATGCGGCAAAAAAAACAATTCACTACATTCTGAAGCATAGCTTCGAGGTTTCCTCCATTCCACCCTGAACACGTGACCACGGTCATCTGAAGCTTCGTTCTGCACTCAACCATGTGACTGCTTTGGAAATTGAAAATGTGGCGCAATCCTCATTACCGTTTTCAAACGTGTTGTAGAACATATATTTTGGCACGCACACACTGCAGCGTAAGTTTTAATCATAATAATATTTTAATAATAATTAATTTTCAACAATAATAATAATAATAATAAGTCATTATTGTGTCCAGGGTTCAGTTTAATTGTATGAATACATAATATCAGATTTGGGTGAGGGTATTACCTAATAATCTGTATAATTTTCCCATTATAGAGACCAAGAAACAAATGATTGATGAGGCTTTGGTCAATATGATTGTGAAAGATTCACAACCCTTCACCATAGTGGATGATGCTGGATTTAGGGAGTTTGTTGGTATCCTGGATCCAACCTACATTCTCCCATCCAGGCAAACATGAAAGGGTCTGGTGACAGAAAAATTTAAGATAGAAAATGAGAAAGCAAAAGAAGAGGTGAAAAAGGCCAAAGCAGTAAGTCTAACATCTGACACGTGGACATCCATACATATGGAAGCTTATTTAGCAGTGAAATGCCATTTTATAAAGGATAAGACTGAGCTGTCTACTGTATTATTGGGAGCAGGAAAATTCCCAGAGTCTCATTCTGCAGAAAACATGGCTGCAGTCAAGGCAACCTTGATGGAGGAGTGGGGAAGACAAAATAAAGTCCGATGCTTGAAACTGACGCTGCACACAATATTATTGCCTGTGTCAGACACACAACCTGCATTGTACATGCACTGAATTTGGCTGTGAAGAAGGACATTAATCAGACACAAGGACCTGACGATATCAGATCCAAGGCAAGACAGATTGTGGGTGACCTACTTCAGAACCAGTACAACTGCTAGAAAAAGGCATTGTCAAATCCAGCAGCAGATGGGCAGACCCACTCTTCACAATGGTTCAAGAAGTGGAAACCAGTACCTGTTCAATGCTGCAATGATCGCATGATCAAGGACAGCCAGTTGGTGCTGCATTGGTCACTTTGAAGACAGAGCTCACAACCGTGACCTCAGAGGAGTATCACATCACTTATGAGTGTCTGGGTGTTTTATGACATTTCAATGAGGCATCTGTTGCACTTTCCGAAGAGAAGAGAGTATCAGGATCCAAGGTAATTCCTCTCATCCACATGCTTAGACATGCTGTGAATCTGAAACTGGCCAGGCACAGAATGTCAAGGCCCAGCAGTTCTGCAAGAACCTCTTGAAGTTGCTCACTGAGAGGTTGTCAGTCTATGAGGCCATGAGCATAATGACACTGGCCACACTGCTGGATCCAAGATATAAAACTGCAGATTTCTGTAGCCAATCTAATGCTCAGGCTGCTGTGAAACACCTTACAGCAGAGTGTGCATCCAGCATAAGATTACAGGAGGCCCAGCAGAGCCCATCCACACCAACATGCATCCAGCCACCAGAACCAGAGCCTGCAGGAACCTCATTTGGTACTGCAATGCACACCGGCACTGTTGCAAACTTTCACATTTTAATGTGAATGTTCACTGAATTTGGATGTACAATTATTATTGCACAGTACAAAATGCATAAGTGTATATAATGATTCATGCTTTGTCATTTTAGTTCCAGATCTGTAGGATCTTCTGGACAGTGATGTGGGGGAGAGCAAACGGGTCAAGAGTTTGACAGCAGATTCTACTGTGGAGGTTCAGCAGTACCTCAGTGACCCAAATATACTGCGTTCTGAAGACCCTTTGCAGTTCTGGCATAGTGTTGTGTATCCACACTTATATGAACTTGCAATACAGTTTTTATGTTCTCCAGGGACCTCCGTTCCATGTTAGTGGGTATTCTCTAAAGTGGGAGAAGTTGTGAATAAAAAAACGAACACAATGTTCAACAAATACTGTTCCTCAACAAAAATCTTTAGTCCAATGCCCCCTCTTGAGTTACACATGCACCCCTTCCCAGTTAATTCAAAGGTTGCCCAATCCAAGTTATTTTATGTGCTTATTTAAATTACTGCAGGAAAGTGAGATCCAATTACAAACAGATGGTTGAGATGGATCTGGAGACGCATGTTAATACCAGAGCCTTTGACTCAAGGTATTTTAATAATAACAATAATTGATGCTTTCACTGATCCTTGTGGGGAAATTCTCTTAACACCCCACCCAACTTGCACTCTGTAGGTGAGAGCAAGCTGGCTGCAAAGGCACTCTTTGCAGCCACCCATAGCAGCACCCATAGAGCTGGGGGTTAAGGGCCTTACTCAGGGACCCCCAGATGTACGAAGGTCAGGCTTGAACTAGCAATCTTCTGATCATAGGCAGAGAGGCTTAGCCCACTCAGCCACAGGCTGCCCCAGAACTATCACACTCTGGGTGTTTCATGTTTACTGCACCATTAAAAATTAAACTCTACACACTGAAGTGTGTGAAATTAAAATCCCAGGACAGTGGCTGTTTCTGACATGATAGAACCACTACTCTTATGCTGCGCTCCATTTACCTCGGAGGTCGGAACTCGGAGCTGGGAACAACGTCACAGATGAGTTAAACACGTTTCAGTACAGCAAGTCGGACAGCCATTTAGCAAAGCCAGTGACATGTTTCAAAAAGCAAAATTTCTTTCTCAGCTGGATAAACCCGACACGCTGTCTGGCTAAGCAAGAAATCCTGGTTAATTGTTAGCCATTGTTAGCAATATCAGTTGGTAACAACACATTACATGGTATTTTGCACACAAAAACACCATAGCAACATGTCCACAGATAACAGCTATACAGTACTGTGTGTACGACTAATTTAATGAGCCAAAAATAAGATATAAGTGCTAATAAACAGTATAAAACTACAGCTTTAACTTCTAGTGAATAAGGGGCAAGACCATCTTGTATTCTGAGGTCAGGGTTGTGTAGATTTCTCTGACTTCAGTGGCCTGTATTACGAAATGGGGTTACTGGCTTGTCGGGGTAAATTGTCGGATTTAAGGTACCACAGTTTAAATGAACTTCATATTCATTCACTTACATTTTGCCCAGACTACCTTAAATCCGACAAGTTACCCCGATAAGCCATTAAGTTCAGATGGAATGCAGCATTAGTACTAGGGGTGTAAATCATAGCTTTCCTTGCGATACGATACAATATCGATTCCCTAAGCCAACGGTTAGAATTCCCATGATACGATATGATACGATTAGATTCAGTTCGATACTGGGGATAGTAGTCGAAATTATGAAATTTCACACAATCCTTTACATTTCAATGAATTAAAAAAGGCAAATATAATTAGCATTTTATCATATTTTATTGGGAACTGTAAACAAAATCTAGTGTAGTCAAGTATGTCCCATAAATCAAGCAAAATAAGGTAAAAAATAATAACTTTGGATGGATGTAGATTAAGATGGTGACTAATTTTTTTTTAAATCAAGTCTTCTCCAGACAAATACAAAAGTGTAACCAAAAGTACAAAAGTATGTCCATAACCGTCATGACCTACTCGTATGACCCTCTTGTGTGCTACGCCCCTCATTAACTTTGTGTGCAATCCCGAATGTTCCCAGCTGTTTCTTATTGTTTCGTCTAGTCCTGTGTATTTAAATCCATGTCAGAGTCTGTCACCCAGATCTGTCATTGAAGTTTTCCCCATGTTATGTGCTGTGCTTGCAATTCCCCCCCCCCCCTTTTGTTGGATTTCCGTCTGCCTGACCCTGATTCCCTGCTTGCTCGCCCTACGCTGGGATACAACAATAACAAGTAAAATAAAGTGCAATAAAGTCAAATAAAAAACATTGCATGGACAGACAAGTAGAGTGAGGAAGATCAACATGACTGACTTCTGCGGTGAAACAAGTATATCAGTATTCTTCTTTGAGAGGTTTTTTTTTTTTAAAGAAAAATTAAATGGTCAACGTGTCCAGGAGATTGTGTGCTCTGACTCTGAGCCAGTACTAAACACACGCTCTGAAGGTACACTAGCTTGCGAGCTACTGATAAATGACCAAGTCAAAATGATCTACCTACTATAAAAATGCAAAACCTATATTTATTATGTATTATAAATTTCCCTTTGGGATGAATAAAGCATTTTTGAATTGAACTGGGCTTTTAGTTCCTTCACCTTTCTCTTTCTCAGCTCGCTTTTCGGAGAGAAGTTAATATCGCAGTTTTTATGAACAGTCCGAAAATGCCACTCCACATTCCCCTTCTTCGGAATAGCAACGGTAGACTGACAGATGAGGCAAACGCACTTCGAATATGACATGGTGGAAAACAGTCCTCCCCCCATTTCGTATGGAAGTGGTAGGTTTTTGGCTTCTTACTTGGTCCAGCTCCCGCATTCATTTTTATACCCTTTCTTAAGTTTAGTAAATAAATTGGAGGCTAACTAGGCGACTTGGTAGATTGCAGCAACTGGAGCGGATGAACGCATCATCCATCCTCTATTTTTTATGCCATATGATCTACCCACACTACCTTTGCGATCGAGCAGTAGATCGCGATCAACGTATTGGGTGTAGACCATGTATATGTCAGAGTGGATCATGAAAACAATACTGGAACAGGCGAGAAAATAAAAATGCATGTATCAATATTCATGCTGTCATATGCATCAGATCGTTTGCCGGTGAATCGATATATCGATACAAATCGATGTATAATTGTTACACCCCTAATTAGTACCAACAATCACACCGTATTTAAAACCTCTTAGCTCACACATCTGAAGGAGTTTCAGTAGGAATTCAATCCGAAGTTTTTAAACTTGCATTTTCAGTTCATTTTTATTTCATTTTTATTATGGATTGCGTCCGGGGAAGCAGTACAGAAAGTCGTGAAGTCGGGTTAGCGGGGTTATATTCGGGGAAATCACCAAAACACAGAACAGAAACGCAAGCATGACCGTCAATGACCGGATAGGGGTAAGACAGACTTCAGAAGCAGTAAATACACAGAATTGATTAACGACAACTAGACATAGCTGAGAACAGCGGGATTCCACACGAAGTAACAAAGGGGTGTGGCACACAGGAAGATCGGACGAGCAGGTCATGAAAACTTTACCGAACCAGACTTGTTCTGAGTGTTTTGTAGCAATTACACTAACAATTGTTAAGACAAAATCCATTTATTTGAAATTAACTTTATATTTATATAAGAGCACTTCTAGCCTGACCTGTATCTCCGTCCTTCCTGCAGCAGCTGAGACTGTATCATGGCCTTTGTGTTCATCCATCGTACAGGGATAACAAATACTCTGCTGGTCGGTACGGCAGTAGACCTCCAAGGGTTTGTCATGGTGGGAACAGACTTTGTCCTGCAAACGTCCAGTGACATCAGTCAGCTTGTGCTTCTTAAAAGCTGGAGACTCATAGTGAGGCTGGAGGTGAGTTTCACAGTAAGAGGCCAGACACACCAGGCAGGACTTGACAGCTTTGTGTTTTCTCCCAGTACAGACGTCACACTCCACATCTCCAGGTCCAGCATAATGGGCAGCAGGAATAGCTGCTTGTAGTCCAGTTACCTTCAGTTTCTCCACCACTTCAGCCAGCATGCTGTTTCTGCCCAGAACAGGTCTGGGTATGAAGGTCTGTCTGCACTGGGGGCAGCTGTAAACTCCAAGATGATCCTCCTGATCCCAGCAGCTCTTAATGCAGCTCATACAGTAACTGTGTCCAGAGTTGATAGTCACTGGATCCTTCAGTAGATCCAGACAAATTGCACAGCTGAACTCGCTCAGATCCAGTGCTGAGCTGGCTTCTGCTATTTTACCACGAACACTGATAAGATTCAGTTTCGTTTTCTCTCAAAGTCGTCTGTGTGTGAAAATGGGAGGAACTTCCTTCTTCTCAGGCTGCAGAAGCAGCCTGAGGTGTGGTTTTGGACTGAGGCCAGACTGAGAAGAACAGACTGGGCAAATACTGGAGCTGGAGTTTATAACTAAAACAGTACAGTATGCAAACTATACATATGACAGATATTTATTTAGCTTGTTTAGTTATTTATTTAGCTTATTCATGAGAATAACTGTCACTGACATTGTTGGCCGTAAACAAACTATAATCCTACTCTTTGATTTTGTACAGTAGATAGATATTAGGTAGAAAGGTATACAGTAAGAGCAGTTCTACTATGAATGAATTTCTATGTCTGTTTAGAAACAAGTTTGGGATCATGTGGTTTCAGGTGAAACATGCATATATGTGCAATTATAGACAGACTGTGTCAGGATTAGACAGAACAAGCTTTGACAAGTACTGTCAGATTAGTTTTTTTACATTATTCTATATATATATTTATGAAAATAAAGGGTGTAGCACATATATGTCACATTTCTTCTTTTCTTTCCGTCTGTGCTGGTAGTGTATTTGTGTTAGGAAGGAGAGTCAAGTGATCAGGTTCAGAGTGATAATTTTTAACATCCAAAATTTTTTCCATACTCTAATAATGAAAATTTATTCTAGATATGCATTGAACACTATGAAGTTAAAGTCTCATATTTAAGCCAAAAGTTAATAAGAACATAAGAACTATACAAACGAGAGGAGGCCATTCGGCCCATCAAGCTCGCTTGGGGAGAACTTAACCAATAACTCAGAGTTGTTAAAATCTTATCTAGCTCTGATTTAAAGGAACCCAAGGATTCAGCTTGCACTATGTTATCAGGAAGACTATTCCATACTCTGACTACACACTGTGTAAAGAAGTTCTTCCTTAAATCCTGTTTGAAATGT